CTCCAGTATCAGCTCTTGTTACTGGTAATGGCTCAAAAGGGTCACCACTTACGGGCTATTCATGCCCGTGCCACCTGTTGGGTGGCTTAATCTTCATCAATCAATCAGAGGGAGAGGATAGTGTCTTCTGTGTCTCAGTGAAGACAGGAGTCTAGAGGGTAGTATTGGACACCCTCTATGTGGGAGGGAGACGATCTGGTGTCTACAAGGAAGCTTCGTCATTGCTGTATCTTGAGTGAGTACTGGTCCCATATGTCCTGACATCACAAGTGTTAATATTCTATTGCCTTGATAGTGAAGTTAGATTAGGATTCTTATATTGAGCTCAATTAAATAAATATTACTAAATTGTCCATTCTGTCGTATCCATTCGTGCCTGTAAGTTATTCATAGAGAGTTGCTAGGGAATAGTGGAAGTCAGTCGAGTTCTCACCCCCTTCCCCTCTGGGATATCCTGAACTCACAATGTTAACTCTCCAGTGACCGGTATTCTTCGGCGCCGGTCACTAGGTTGATCGACTTGAGAATGGTCCAGGACGGACCGAAACGTCGTCGTCCCTTCAACTTCTAGTGTGTGGTCTGGTCAACATAGGTTGATCAAAGATGAAGGTGGTGGCGGCATTACGTAGTGTTAAGTAGTTTTAAGTTTAAGTCATTGAAATTGAAATAAGTTTATTGAGGTAAAGTACACACAAATGTATGAGGTAGCTCAAGCTATTCTCACCCCGTTCAGTACATCGTGTTAATACATACATATACACACATCACAAGCAATAAACATATTACCAAACATTCTGAGAGATAAACATCTACAATTTTGTATATGTTTATTTTCAAGAATCGACTTGAGAATGGTCCAGGACGGACCGAAACGTCGTCGTCCCTTCACATTCTAGTGTGTGGTCTAGTCATCATATACATTTCCTAGTTTAAGTCATCAGTTGTAACAACCTGTGTAGGTATCGTGGTGGTACTCTGGAGACACGTTTAGCTGCGTTATAAATGGTGGCAGCGGTGGGATTTAGTAATTGGGTAATTGTTGAAGGGACGTATGTGCCTGTGCTGCTCGGTGGCTACTGTAGGTTTAGGCATAACAAACATGGCGGCCACAACAACAACAAACATGGCGGCCACAACAACAAACATGGCGGCCACAACAACAAACATGGCGGCCACAACAACAACAAACATGGCGGCCACAACAACAACAAACATGGCGGCCACAACAACAACAAACATGGCGGCCACAACAACAACAAACATGGCGGCCACAACAACAAACATGGCGGCCACAACAACAACAAACATGGCGGCCACAACAACAAACATGGCGGCCACAACAACAACAAACATGGCGGCCACAACAACAAACATGGCGGCCACAACAACAACAAACATGGCGGCCACAACAACAACAAACATGGCGGCCACAACAACAAACATGGCGGCCACAACAACAACAAACATGGCGGCCACAACAACAACAAACATGGCGGCCACAACAACAACAAACATGGCGGCCACAACAACAACAAACATGGCGGCCACAACAACAAACATGGCGGCCACAACAACAACAAACATGGCGGCCACAACAACAAACATGGCGGCCACAACAACAAACATGGCGGCCACAACAACAACAAACATGGCGGCCACAACAACAACAAACATGGCGGCCACAACAACAAACATGGCGGCCACAACAACAAACATGGCGGCCATAACAACAACAAACATGGCGGCCACAACAACAACAAACATGGCGGCCACAACAACAAACATGGCGGCCACAACAACAAACATGGCGGCCACAACAACAAACATGGCGGCCACAACAACAACAAACATGGCGGCCACAACAACAAACATGGCGGCCACAACAACAACAAACATGGCGGCCACAACAACAACAAACATGGCGGCCACAACAACAACAAACATGGCGGCCACAACAACAACAAACATGGCGGCCACAACAACAAACATGGCGGCCACAACAACAAACATGGCGGCCACAACAACAACAAACATGGCGGCCACAACAACAACAAACATGGCGGCCACAACAACAACAAACATGGCGGCCACAACAACAAACATGGCGGCCACAACAACAAACATGGCGGCCACAACAACAACAAACATGGCGGCCACAACAACAACAAACATGGCGGCCACAACAACAAACATGGCGGCCACAACAACAAACATGGCGGCCACAACAACAACAAACATGGCGGCCACAACAACAACAAACATGGCGGCCACAACAACAACAAACATGGCGGCCACAACAACAACAAACATGGCGGCCACAACAACAACAAACATGGCGGCCACAACAACAACAAACATGGCGGCCACAACAACAACAAACATGGCGGCCACAACAAACGCGGAAAGATGATTCTGGTGTCATAAACATTCCAGATTACAGGTATGTCAGCCTCGCACCTGTGGCCGCCAGGGTCACGTGAGCTTATTGACGTAGACAGGTGATTGTTTTTGCACCCGTGGTGGTTGTTAGTGATTGGTGGTGGTGATTGTGACTAGGGAGTAGTAGTGGTTGACAAGTGCGTCGACTTAAGACAAGTGACTGTAAGTAAGGAGCGCCTCGTTAAAACTTGTGGAATCAGTCATGTAGTTGATCTCCCAGCTCCACCCCCTCCCCAACCACCCCTTCCCCCAATCACCCCCAATCACCACCCCCCTTCCCCCCCTACCTACCCCCCCAGCAACCACTCATTGCAAAAGTACCACAATCACCTGTGGCTGTAGTGCTCAGTAACTCACCAAACTACATACTGTCTAACAGCTCCCTACCCCCCAAATGCCACCCCTACCCCCCTCTCTTCCCCACCCCCACTCCCTCTCCCCCCCTCCACCCTGAGCCGCCCTAGAGTGACATACAGACGGTATTACGGGAGATAGCGACAAATACATTCGATTACATGGTTGAGCGGACTGACCTAGGTAAGGGGGGGGGGTTGTGGGTCAAAGAGGGGAGGGGGCGTGTGGGCAGAGGGGAAAAGGGAGGTACAAGAGAGGGGGTATATGAGGCTCTGTACTGTGAAGGGGTTCCAGAGCCTTAGAGCCAGTAACTCCACTTATACGAGGCTCTGTTGCCTCTATATACCTCCTTGCCTCTACACACATTAAAGACAATTAAGAGGCACAAACTACAAGCAACACAAACCACCGTTTAGCATCTAACAAGGCAATTCAGGGACTCCATGAGGCCCTTAACAGTCACTAAACATGGGGCTGCGGCCGAGCTGGGGCCCAAGAGCTTAGATCTGCTCGAGAGGAATTAAACCCCAAAATACATTTTTCCATATAGCATCGTGTCAGCAAGGCGGACAGCCCGCCTGCTATCATAACATCGCGTCAGCAAGGCGGACAACCCGCCTGCTATCATAACATCGCATCAGCAAGGCGGACAGCCCGCCTGCTATCATAACATCGTGTCAGCAAGGCGGACAGCCCGCCTGCTATCATAACATCGCATCAGCAAGGCGGACAGCCCGCCTGCTATCATAACATCGCATCAGCAAGGCGGACAGCCCGCCTGCTATCATAACATCGTGTCAGCAAGGCGGACAGCCCGCCTGCTATCATAACATCGCATCAGCAAGGCGGACAGCCCGCCTGCTATCATAACATCGCATCAGCAAGGCGGACAGCCCGCCTGCTATCATAACATCGTATCAGCAAGGCGGACAACCCGCCTGCTATCATAACATCGTATCAGCAAGGCGGACAACCCGCCTGCTATCATAACATCGTATCAGCAAGGCGGACAGCCCGCCTGCTATCATAACTGGATAGGAACTAGAAAGAACTGAAGTATTGTACACAGGAAGAGTGTAGTGACTGTGGGAGCCTTAGAGAGGCTGATGTCGGTGTGTGTAGACCTGGTGGGTGTAGGTGTAGGTGTCCCTGACACAATGGACCTCCCCTGGCACCCTCCCTCACCCCCCCCACCACCCCTCACAAGGGGGGTGGCCCACACCAGGTGAAGGGGGACAATACTGGTGCAGGTCTGGGCCAGTCAAGATAGGTATTGACCGCAGCTGTGTTGTTGCTTGTGTAGCTTCCTGGTCCTCACGCTGTCTCCCCTCACTACACCCCTCTCCCCTCTCCACACCCCTCACCTTACCGTAGCGGCGACGACTATCATATGGGGAGAGGATATGAGATAGACTAAGATTCTTCCGTCCTCAGGGCATGGGCCCTGGCCTCCTGTTACCCCCCCCCCCCTCCTGTCCCTATTGGGGAGGGGGGGTCATGGGTCTGGGGGTCATGGGAGGGGGGGGGAGCCCCTGCCAATGGGTAGATGAAGAGTGGTGGTTATACGACGACAATACCCCCATTGTTGCAGCTCTTGTGAAATATATTCCTCAAGCCAGTATACCTATTTCTTCTCTCTCTCTCTCTCTCTCTCTCTCTCTCTCTCTCTCTCTCTCTCTCTCTCTCTCTCTCTCTCTCTCTCTCTCTCTCTCTCTCTCTCTCTCTCTCTCTCTCTCTGTCTCTGTCTCTCTCTCTCTGTCTCTCTCTCTCTCTCTCTCTCTCTCTCTCTCTCTCTCTCTCTCTCTCTCTCTCTCTCTCTCTCTCTCTCTCTCTCTCTCTCTCTCTCTCTCTCTCTCTCTCTCTCACACAGCCTCACTTATACACTCGTAAGTAAAGAGGAAGGAGAGGCGTAGGTGAAGGGAAGTATAGAAGTGGGAAATACAGTGAGAGGTATGAAAGCAGGCGGGCTGTCCGCCTTGCTGACACCATGTGTGGGTGTTGGCAGCTAAGCTAAGCTGGCTCCCTCTTGTCAGGGAGCTGTGAGTGTGTGAGAGGTTCTTCACATGTGTTTCACCATATATGGATGTCTATAGATGAATACTGTGTAGCATTCATATATACACACTCCGATGCTTCCACACATGTTGTTCTGTTTAAGGCTGTTGTATTATTATTGTGTTGTATCTAATGTATTTTTGCTATTGCAGGCGAGAGGGACGACCATTTGGACCACGACGCCTCGCCGCACCGCACTGGAAAGGGTACGTGTGTACCGCTGTGTACCGTTGTATATCGGCTATGTACCGTCTGTGTTCAGCTGTGTACCGTCTGTGTTCAGCTGTGTACCGTCTGTGTTCAGCTGTGTACCGTCTGTGTTCAGCTGTGTACCGTCTGTGTTCAGCTGTGTACCGTCTGTGTACCGTTGTGTATCGGATGTGTACCGTTTGTGTACCGTTGTGTATCGGCTGTGTACCGTCTGTGTACAGTCTGTACAGCTGTGTACAGTCTGTGTACAGTCTGTGTACCGCTGTGTACAGTCTTTGTCCCACAATCCCCCTCCCCAATCCCCCTTAATCTTCAATCCTTTAATTCACAACTTTTACATCCCTTAAAACAGCCTTTGTAAACTGACCCTAATCCCCTGATCTCAAGGGAATTGAGATTAAGGGATTAATCTCTCCAATCCCACAGTTCCCTAGCCCTTACAAGCCCTTGTCTTCCCAGTCCCTAACCATTCATTCTGTAATCTATGAAATGTGTTCTGACGCCTGTATTTTGTTCCTTCATTCTATGTAACTTATTACATTCATCTGGGTGCTAGGAGACTCGAATCCTGGACCCCCTTGTGTGTGTGTGTGTGTGTGTGTGTGTGTGTGTGTGTGTGTGTGTGTGTGTGTGTGTGTGTGTGTGAGGTTCAAGCTCTTATGACTGAGCTATGGAGTGGCCTTAATAAGGAAGCTTATTTGACGTATTATCCAGTAACTAACTTCCTTTCAGTCCCATGGTATGATATATTTAAGCCTTTGGTAATCATAGTGCCATGGTCAGTAACCATAGTGCCATGGTCAGTAGCCATAGTGCCATGGTCAGTAATCATAGTGCCATGGTCAGTAGTTATAGTGCCATGGTCAGTAGCCATAGTGCCATGGTCAGTAGTCATAGTGCCATGGTCAGTAGTTATAGTGCCATGGTCAGTAATCATAGTGCCATGGTCAGTAGTTATAGTGCCATGGTCAGTAATCATAGTGCCATGGTCAGTAACCATAGTGCTATGATCAGTAGCCATGGTGCCATGGTCAGTAACCATAGTGCTATGGTCAGTAGCCATGGTGCCATGGTCAGTAATCATAGTGCCATGGTCAGTAACCATAGTGCTATGATCAGTAGCCATGGTGCCATGGTCAGTAACCATAGTGCTATGGTCAGTAGCCATGGTGCCATGGTCAGTAACCATAGTGCTATGGTCAGTAGCCATGGTGCCATGGTCAGTAATCATAGTGCTATGGTCAGTAGCCATGGTGCCATGGTCAGTAACCATAGTGCTATGGTCAGTAGCCATGGTGCCATGGTCAGTAACCATAGTGCTATGGTCAGTAGCCATGGTGCCATGGTCAGTAATCATAGTGCCATGGTCAGTAACCATAGTGCTATGATCAGTAGCCATGGTGCCATGGTCAGTAACCATAGTGCTATGATCAGTAGCCATGGTGCCATGGTCAGTAACCATAGTGCTATGATCAGTAGCCATGGTGCCATGGTCAGTAGCCATGGTGCCATGGTCAGTAACCATAGTGCTATGGTCAGTAGCCATGGTGCCATGGTCAGTAATCATAGTGCCATGGTCAGTAACCATAGTGCTATGATCAGTAGCCATGGTGCCATGGTCAGTAACCATAGTGCCATGGTCAGTAGCCATGGTGCCATGGTCAGTAACCATAGTGCTATGGTCAGTAGCCATGGTGCCATGGTCAGTAACCATAGTGCCATGGTCAGTAACCATAGTGCTATGATCAGTAGCCATGGTGCCATGGTCAGTAACCATAGTGCCATGGTCAGTAGCCATGGTGCCATGGTCAGTAACCATAGTGCTATGGTCAGTAGCCATGGTGCCATGGTCAGTAACCATAGTGCCATGGTCAGTAACCATAGTGCTATGATCAGTAGCCATGGTGCCATGGTCAGTAACCATAGTGCCATGGTCAGTAGCCATGGTGCCATGGTCAGTAACCATAGTGCCATGGTCAGTAACCATAGTGTCATAGTTGAAGACGATACAATATGAGATATAATATGGGAAGACACGATACATTAAGGAATAAGACGTTACGAGATGGAAATCTTAACTTTAATACCGGTTATAATTAAAGCAAGATGAGCGATCCTTTGTGGGAATGTAAGGGGGTGTAAGTGACCTTGAGGGGGGGGGGGTGACCTTGATGGGGGCCTGGGGGGGGAGGTGTTAGGGGGGTCTGGTTCATGTTTGTCTAAAGTCTTCGTTCCTTTCTCTCTGTTTCGCTCTTAATTCGTTCTATATGGTATGTTAAAGGTTAGGTTAGGTCGTGTTCTTGCATAATGTATATATATATATATATATATATATATATATATATATATATATATATATATATATATATATATATATATATATATATATATATATATATTAACGTCATGAGTGAGTTGAGGATGAGTGAGAGGTGAGGAAGGAGGCAGTGAGGTATAGTGAGGGGTGAAGAAGGAGGCAGTGAGGGGTAGTGAGAGGTGAGGAAGGAGGCAGTGAGGTATAGTGAGAGGTGAGGAAGGAGGCAGTGAGGTATAGTGAGGGGTGAGGAAGGAGGCAATGAGGGGTAGTGAGAGATGAGGAAGGAGGCAGTGAGGGGTAGTGAGAGGTGAGGAGGGAGGCAGTGAGGGGTAGTGAGAGGTGAGGAAGGAGGCAGTGAGGGGTAGTGAGAGGTGAGGAGGGAGGCAGTGAGGGGTAGTGAGAGGTGAGGAATGAGTCAGTGAGGGGTAGTGAGAGGTGAGGAAGGAGTCAGTGAGGGATAGTGAGAGGTGAGGAAGGAGTCAGTGAGGGATAGTGAGAGGTGAGGAATGAGTCAGTGAGGGGTAGTGAGGTGTGAGGGAAGTAGAGAAGCGCCTCAATAACACACGGTCAGTATATAAGCCATAGTAATGAAACATTTAACCTAACCAACAACAGGAAGCACCTTTGTCACCGCTAGTCGCCAAATGAATAGTTGGGTCAAATGTCACATTTTAATTACATTTGCGAATGAAAACGTGAATTCCCGAAATATAAAGCTTGCAGGGAACATAATGGCATTTTGGGGGTCCTTTGTTGGGTAGTTAAGCCGGAACGGGTTTTATAGTCTTTCCCTTTGAGTGGTATAATTATTTTGTGACCCCCCCCCCTCCCCTGGGGTCGTGGGGGTCCTTATAGGGGGGTTAGTGGTTACCTGGTGGGGGGGTCTCACTACGTTGTGTAGACCACTGTGCTACCACTCTGCTTCCACTACCACTTTTTCAGCTGCCTACTGTGGCTGAGGAGTGCCCAAGCGGCTCTGTCTAAACCAGGTATCTGTGAATGGTGTGTGTGTTTGTGTGTGTGTGTGTGTGTGTGTGTGTGTGTGTGTGTGTGTGTGTGTGTGTGTGTGTTCTCCTGGCTCAAACAATAAGGTTAAGCACCAGGTTGAGCCGGTCGGCCGAGCGGACAGCACGCTGGACTTATGATCCTGTGGTCCTGGGTTCGATCCCAGGCGCCGGCGAGAAACAATGGGCACAGTTTCTTTCACCCTATGCCCCTGTTACCTAGCAGTAAAATAGGTACCTGGGTGTTAGTCAGCTGTCACGGGCTGCTTCCTGGGGGTGGAGGCCTGGTCGAGGACCGGGCCGCGGGGACACTAAAGCCCCGAAATCATCTCAAGATAACCTCAAGTGCCTTCCACTCTAACTTCCAATATATCATAGACAATCCAAGATCTCTGGATCACAATTAAAGTCCATTTAAAAAGAATCCAAGATCTCTGGATCACAATTAAAGTCCATTTAAAAAGAATCCAAGATCTCTGGATCACAATTAAAGTCCATTTAAAAAGAATCCAAGATCTCTGGATCACAATTAAAGTCCATTTAAAAAGAATCCAAGATCTCTGGATCACAATTAAAGTCCATTTAAAAAGAATCCAAGATCTCTGGATCACAATTAAAGTCCATTTAAAAAGTAAGTTAATCAATTATATATTTCATATTAGATCTTCCGCTCATATGGATATCATCATTCAACCATATGATTTGAAGTTGAAGGGAAGGGAACTATCAGGGGGAAAGCACCAAGCCATTGCGACTGTATAGCACTGGGAAGGGGTCAGGATTTGGGATGGGACGGGGGGAAAGGAATGGTGCCCAACCACTTGTGGACGGTCGGGGATTGAACTCTGAGATTTGAAGTTGAATGTCAACATTGATACACAATTTGAGTCACCACACAAGAAGTTGAGAACACCTACACCTGACTGCCCCTGATAATCACACTAACATTTTGAGGTTATCTTGAGGTTATCTTTGAGATGATTTCGGGGCTTTTTAGTGTCCCCGCGGCCCGGTCCTCGACCAGGCCTCCACCCCCAGGAAGCAGCTCGTGACAGCTGACTAACACCCAGGTACCTATTTTAATGCTAGGTAACAGGGCCATAGGGTTAAAGAAACTCTGCCCATTGTTTCTCGCCGGCGCCTGGGATCGAACCCAGGACCACAGGATCACAAGTCCAGCGTGCTGTCCGCTCGGCCGACCGGCTCCCTATCTAAGTTTAAAACACATGTCAATTGTAAAGTTCACTCACCAAAAAAACTTTGAGCTTTGAAACTTAAGTTCACAGTCCCCCACCAGGCTTAGGAAGGCCAGTCTGGCTGCTGGAACGTCTCTCGACAAGCGATCTGACTATCAACGTCCTCCTCAAAGTCCCAAATGTAGTTTGATTGATGAAGATTAAGCCACCCAAAAGGTGGCACGGGCATGAATAGCCCGTAAGTGGTGGCCCTTTGGAGCCATTACCAGTATCAATAGATGATACTGGAGATCTGTGGAGGTCACCTCACACGACCTGACCCGGAGGCAACCTCACAATTAACACCTGAATTTACACCTGATTTAACACCTGAAACCTGAATTAGCCCCTGAATTAACACCTGAAATGCGTGACTCTAGAATATTATAGAGCCAACGACCTGGCGACAGGTTGAAATATAAGAAATATTGCCGGAACAACCGTGGACATCTTCAAGAAAAACCTAGATTGTTTTCTAAAAACAAAAGTGCCGGACCAACCGGGCTGTGGTGGGTATGTGGGCCTGCGGGCCGCTCCAAGCAGCAACAGCCTGGTGGACCAAGCTCTCACAAGTCAAGCCCGGCCTCGTCAAGCCTGGTCAAGCCTAATTTCCTAATTTTAGGAAATTAGATTCGAGTATAAGTTACTGAAGGACTTTTAGGAATATATTGAGACCGCGTAGTTGAGTTCAAGGATGCTGCGGGATCGATCTCGGGCCGGGCTTGGGGAGTAGAAGTATTGGGCCAATATTGATCACTAGATAAGTAAAGAATCAGATCAATATGATTATATTTAGAGAGTGAACAATTAAATTCTGAATATATCTGATTTTCCACCAGTTTTAGAAAGGTTGAAATGCAATATATCACAATCCTATTTAGTATTTATATTATATAAACAGCCACGAGATGATAGCAAGAACTATGTTGCAATCACGGAGGAATATCTTGCGGTCTGCAATATTTATTTGCCAGGCTGATCCTGTATGCAAGAGTTGGGATGCTGGGTTCATGCCAGTATGTTGGCATCTCTCCAGTGTAATGTGGAGGTGTTCACATGTGTTCAACTCTCGTCTAGAAGTGTTCAACTCTCGTCTAGAAGTGTTCAACTCTCGTCTAGAAGTGTTCAACTCTCGTCTAGAAGTGTTCAACTCTCGTCTAGAAGTGTTCAACTCTCGTCTAGAAGTGTTCAACTCTCGTCTAGAAGTGTTCAACTCTCGTCTAGAAGTGTTCAACTCTCGTCTAGAAGTGTTCAACTCTCGTCTAGAAGTGTTCAACTCTCGTCTAGAAGTGTTCAACCCTCGTCTAGAAGTGTTCAACCCTCGTCTAGCAGTGTTCAACCCTCGTCTAGAAGTGTTCACATGTTCTGGAGAACAACGTGAATGTCGCCAGAGACTCGATGGAACTAGACACCCGCTGTGGCTAACCCGATGGATTCATGCCATGTTCACGTTACTCAAGATACTGGTCCCGGAGTTGAAGGTCCAGGTGTTGAGGAGACAGGTGTTGAGGCCTCAGGTGTTGAACACTCAGATGTTGAAGCTGGTGTTGTAATTTAAGGTTTTGAAGGTTCACCTTACCAGGTTATCTTGAGGTTATCATGAGATGATTTCGGGGTTTTTAGTGTCCCCGCGGCCCGGTCCTCGACCAGGCCTCCACCCCCAGGAAGCAGCCCGTGACAGCTGACTAACACCCAGGTACCTATTTACTGCTAGGTAACAGGGGCATAGGGTGAAAGGAACTTTGCCCATTGTTTCTCGCCGGCGCCTGGGGGGGGGAAGGGGGGGGGGGTTAAGGGCAGGGGGGGGGGTGGGGAAATGGGGGGTTATCCTCATTCATAAGATATCATGCTACATAAGGTGAGTTAAAGGCGATAGGAAGGAAGATATATGCCCCAGCATTACCCCTGTGTGCGATAAGGCTGACAATCGCTGGGTAATGCCTCCCATTATGAGCCTTGTGAGAACCTCACTAATCACTGGCTCTTATCTGCTTCTTGGGGGACACCCATTAACCTCTGAAAAGGATAAGGGTTAAAGCTGTTAGTTATTCACTTGTTCACTTATCCTTTATGGCAGCTGTCTAGCTAATGGGGCAGAGCTTCTCTCACCTAATGCCTCTGTTCACCTAGCGATAATACCTGCTACTTGAGTGTTATCCAACAGAGCAGTTCTGGAATACGAGAGCTTGAGTAGAGGCATGAGGCAGTCCATTATAGTCCCCAGAGTGTAGAGGTAAGGCACCACAAGAGCCACTCATCCACTTATCACTGGAATTGTCACACGGAGAGACGTGATCACGCAATACAAAATATTCCGGGGCGCTGACATGGTAGACGCGGGTGTGTGATAGATTGTGTTTCTGCAATTGTGTTTTTTTTGCCACAATTTGGTGGTGTTTTCCTAATTTTAGGAAATTAGATTCGAGTATAAGTTAGTGAAGGACTTTTAGGAAAATATTGAGACCGTGTAGTGGAGTCCAAGGATGCTGCGGGATCGATCTCGGAATTGCGAAAGATGGGGTAGGAAGAAAGGTTGAAGGAACTAGACCTAACGACGCTTGAAAAAAAGGAAGGAAAGGGGAGACATGATCACTACCTACAAAATTCTCAGAGGAATTGACAGGGTAGATAAAGGTATGCTGTTTAACACGGGTGGGACGCGAACAAGGGGACACAGGTGGAAACTGAGTACCCAAATGAGCCACAGGGACGTTAGAAAGAACTTTTTCAGTGTCAAAGTAGGAATGCAGGTGGAATGCATTAGGAAGTGATGTGGTGGAGGCTGACTCCATACACAGTTTCAAGTGTAGATATGATAGAGACCGATAGGCTCAGGAACCTGTACACCTGTTGATTGACAGTTGAGAGGCGGGACCAAAGAGCCAAAGCTCAACCCCCGCAAGCACAACTAGGTGAGTACACACACAGGGTAATCAAATACACCCCCCCCCCCTCACCCAGAGAGAGAGAGGACCTCCTCCTTGAGTGTTGAGTAACCACTTTAGTGACTCACTGGGTAACAGCACAAGGGGGGGGGCAGTGCCACCACGATAACTGCCTATAGTGCCGAGGCACTAAAACAAGGCCCTTGAGTGCCACTCCAGACCCGCATATCTCCCACTCAATTATGTCCAAAAATATCAACTTATTCTCATTTGAATAAGTACACAATGGTACTATAGTCACTAGTGTGTGAGTGGACACATCAATCCTCCACTGGTTGATACCTGGTTGATACCTGGTTGATACCTGGTTGATGGGGTTCTGGGAGTTCTTCTAGTGTTGTGGTCGAATCCACGTCACGGCCCTTGTGGATTTGGTCGACATCTCCCAGGTAGCTCAGGTGGGCTGGTCGACATCTGCCAGGTGGCTCTGGTGGCCTGGTCGACATCTCCCAGGTGACTCTGGTCTCTGGTCGACACCTCCCAGGTGACTCTGATCTCTGGTCGACACCTCCCAGGTGACTCTGGTCTCTGGTCGACACCTCCCAGGTGACTCTGATCTCTGGTCGACACCTCCCAGGTGACTCTGATCTCTGGTCGACACCTCCCAGGTGACTCTGGTCTCTGGTCGACACCTCCCAGGTGACTCTGGTCTCTGGTCGACACCTCCCAGGTGACTCTGGTCTCTGGTCGACACCTCCCAGGTGACTCTGGTCTCTGGTCGACACCTCCCAGGTGACTCTGATCTCTGGTCGACACCTCCCAGGTGACTCTGGTCTCTGGTCGACACCTCCCAGGTGACTCTGATCTCTGGTCGACACCTCCCAGGTGACTCTGGTCTCTGGTCGACACCTCCCAGGTGACTCTGGTCTCTGGTCGACACCTCCCAGGTGACTCTGGTCTCTGGTCGACACCTCCCAGGTGACTCTGGTCTCTGGTCGACACCTCCCAGGTGACTCTGGTCTCTGGTCGACACCTCCCAGGTGACTCTGGTCTCTGGTCGACACCTTCCAAGTACCTGGTCGACTATATTAGTACTTGTAAAGAAAACGTGGATGGCAGGTCGACGACGCTAACAGAAAATGGAGCGAGCCGTCGCGAGGGGTAACTTAACTGTGACGCAGGTCAGAGACGGAGGTCCTCCTCCTAGTTAACTTTCCTAGTTACCGCTGTTCACCTGAAGGATCATTAAGCAGTTGGCTGGTCCAGTAGCTGGTCAAAGACCTAACGCTCAAGAGTGAACAAGAACAGTTGTGTTTGGGGAGGTTAATGATATGTGTTTATGATGTTCATTTCAATGTTCATATTCGAGAACATTAGTTCTGTTCATGGTGTTATTTTAGCGGTTCTCAATGGAACAATGGTGGTGAACTAACATATTTGGCTTGGCAGCTAAAGCTTGACAGCTTTAAATATCCTTACCATCTCTCTCTCTCTCTCTCTCTCTCTCTGTCTCTCTCTGTCTGTCTCTCTCTCTCTCTCTCTCTCTCTCTCTCTCTCTCTCTCTCTCTCTCTCTCTCTCTCTCTCTCTCTACCCAACCACTTGGGCTGGACGGTAGAGCGACGGTCTCGCTTCATGCAGGTCGGTGTTCAATCCCCGACCGTCCAAGTGATTGGGGCACCATTCCTTCCCCCCGTCCCATCCCAAATCCTTATCCTGACCCCTTCCCAGTGCTATATAGTCGTAATGGCTTGGCGCTTTCCCTTGATAATTCCTTCCTTCTCTCTCTCTCTCTCTCTCTCTCTCTCTCTCTCTCTCTCTCTCTCTCTCTCTCTCTCTCTCTCTCTCTCTCTCTCTCTCTCTCTCTCTCTCTCTCGTGCTAACCTACGAACTTAACCATCTTAGTAACTTCCACCTGGCATATTTTCCCAGGAAAGATCAAGTTATGACTTATATAAACTTGTTGCTTTCTGTTGCAGGTCGCTCGCCGCTGAAGGAGGCGCAGAAGGGTAGTGACGGGGAGCGTCCCAAGGAGAGACAGAGGAGGAGCGAGTCTGAGAGACATAAGCCGAAGGACAGGCCGAAGGAGAGACAGAAGGAGCGGCCCTCTGAGGCTGAAAAACTGAAGGAAAGGGAGCGAAAGGATAAGAAATTGGAGTATGATCGGCTGAAGATCGGTGATAGGGAGAGACAGAGAGCAGCTAAGGCGCAGGGAAGTGAAGAGAAGGAACGTAGGAGAAAGTCGCAGGAGAGGGAGAAGAGAAAGTCTCTGGAAGATCGTGAGAGGAGAAGGAAGAGTGAAGAGAGAGAGAGGAGGAAGAGTGTGGAGAGGGAACGAAAGAAGAGCATAGAACGAGAGAAGAGGAGAAGCGAGGAGAGAGACAACCGAAGGCACCCAGAGAAGCAGAGACAGGGAGAAGAGAGAGAGAAGAGGAGAGAGAAGCAGAGACCAGAGAACGCCGACGATGGGAGGCCAGGCTCGCCAGAGAAGACAATAAGGTAAAGACCCAAACACACCCACACTATAAGGTAAAGACCCAAACACACCCACACTATAAGGTAAAGACCCAAACACACCCACACTATAAGGTAAAGACCCAAACACACCCACACTATAAGGTAAAGACCCAAACACACCCACACAATAAGGTAAAGACCCAAACACACCCACACTATAAGGTGAAGACCCGAACACACCCACACTATAAGGTAAAGACCCAAACACACCCACACAATAAGATAAAGACCCAAACACACCCACACTATAAGGTAAAGACCCAAACACACCCACACTATAAGGTAAAGACCCAAACACATCCACACAATAAGGTGAAGACCCGAACACACCCACAAACAATAAGGTAAAGACCCAAACACACCCACACAATAAGGTAAAGACCCAAACACACCCACAAACAATAAGGTAAAGACCCAAACACACCCACACTATAAGGTAAAGACCCAAACACACCCACACTATAAGGTAAAGACCCAAACACACCCACACTATAAGGTAAGACCCAAACACACCCACACTATAAGGTAAAGACCCAAACACACCCACACTATAAGGTAAAGACCCAAACACACCCACACTATAAGGTAAAGACCCAAACACACCCACACTATAAGGTAAAGACCCAAACACACCCACACTATAAGGTAAAGACCCAAACACACCCACACTATAAGGTAAAGACCCAAACACATCCACACAATAAGGTGAAGACCCGAACACACCCACAAACAATAAGGTAAAGACCCAAACACACCCACACAATAAGGTAAAGACCCAAACACACCCACAAACAATAAGGTAAAGACCCAAACACACCCACAAACAATAAGGTAAAGACCCAAACACACCCACAAACAATAAGGTAAAGACCCAAACACACCCACAAACAATAAGGTAAAGACCCAAACACACCCACAAACAATAAGGTAAAGACCCAAACACACCCACAAACAATAAGGTAAAGACCCAAACACACCCACAAACAATAAGGTAAAGACCCAAATACACCCACAAACAATAAGGTAAAGACCCAAACACACCCACACTATAAGGTAAAGACCCAAACAAACCCACAAACAATAAGGTAAAGACCCAAACACACCCACACTATAAGGTAAAGACCCAAACAAACCCACAAACAATAAGGTAAAGACCCAAACACACCCACACACACACTCTGAACCTCTCAATAGACTTGAATGCCCTTCAACGTGTTTATTAACAGTGTATATCTTTATACCTTCAGTATTAAGAGGCTTCCAAGCCTGTAGAGTATATCGACCTCTAACCTTCACTTGTTTCTCGCCTCTAGTGACTGTCTTTTGTCTATAATAAGAGTCAAAACTGTCTTCTTTTGAGCTTTATTCTGTTTTGTTTCAAATAATAATACATACACGTGCACCTGTGGCGCTGTCACCGTTGTTACCGTTGATTGTTGACAGCTGTGCCTGTTGTCAGCTGGTATATGCTGTCAATTACCACAGCATACTGTAGCAGTGACGTCAGTGTTCAATACTCCCGCAGCAGCAGTAGCAGCAGCAACAGCAGCAGCAGCAGGAGGAGGATGGTGCAGCAGAAGAGCAGCGGGGCCGGTGCTGGGGGCGGGTCACGCACCGACCTACCGGAGGCCGAGCAGGCCGAGCGGGCCGAGCAGGAGCGAAGGGAGAGGATACAGAGATACAAGGACGAGCGCCGCAAGCAAATCGCTGCCAGGTCAGTCTGTGCTTCGCGTGGTGCTTCGTCACCTGTGGTGTGTAGGTGTAGGTGTGTAGGTGCAGGTGTGCAGGTGTAGGTGTGCAGGTGTAGGCCTATTGTTTGTCACGTCTGTGTAAACACGATTGTGTAAACATCTGAACACGTGGTCTTGAATGTTTGTGTAAACATGAACACGTGGTCTTGAGTGACTGTAAACATGAACACGTGGTCTTGAATGTTTGTGTAAACATGAACACGTGGTCTTGAGTGACTGTAAACATGAACACGTGGTCTTGAATGTTTGTAAACATGAACACGTGGTCTTGAGTGACTGTGTAAACATGAACACGTGGTCTTGAATGTTTGTAAACATGAACACGTGGTCTTGAGTGACTGTGTAAACATGAACACGTGGTCTTGAATGTTTGTAAACATGAACACGTGGTATCGAGTGACTGTGTAAACATATGAACACGTAGTGTTATTGTGATCCCGTCAGAGCAATACAATTACAAAACACTTAAGTTAGGAAGTGGAGTAGACGGTAGAGCGACGGTCTCGCTTCATGCAGGTCGGCGTTCAATCCCCGACCGTCCACAAGTGGTTGTGTGCACCATTCCATTCCCCGCGTCCCATCCCAAATCCTTATCCTGGCCCCTTCCCAGTGCTATATAGTCTAATGGCTTGGCGCTTTCCCCCTGAAAGTTCCCACTTGAGTGAGGAAGTTTTAAATCCAGTGGGAAAACAGAACGCCTCGAGCACAATTAAGAGAACGCAGTGTACGCAGTGAGAACGGGTTGAAGCGTTCAAGAGAGAATTTAATAAGTATTTGCTGAAGATAGCGGACCATCCTGGCTGCGACGGCTAAGTGCAGGCTCCCAAGACACAGCCTTTAAGGTCTGGCTATATAACCTATAACATTGTGGTATAGCTCTATAACACTGTGGTACAGACCTATAACACTGGTATAGCTCTATAACTGTTTTACAGCTCTGTGCGTCTCCAAGACGCAAGATGATCGGTCTCCAAGACGCAAGATGATCGGTCTCCAAGACGCAAGACGATCGGTCTCCAAGACGCAAGATGATCGGTCTCCAAGACGCAAGATGATCGGTCTCCAAGACGCAAGACGATCGGTCTCCAAGACGCAAGATGATCGGTCTCCAAGATGCAAGATGATCGGTCTCCAAGACGCAAGATGATCGGTCTCCAAGACGCAAGATGATCGGTCTCCAAGACGCAAGACGATCGGTCTCCAAGACGCAAGATGATCGGTCTCCAAGACGCAAGATGATCGGTCTCCAAGACGCAAGATGATCGGTCTCCAAGACGCAAGATGATCGGTCTCCAAGACGCAAGATGATCGGTCTCCAAGACGCAAGACGATCGGTCTCCAAGACGCAAGATGATCGGTCTCAAAGACGCAAGATGATCGGTCTCCAAGACGCAAGATGATCGGTCTCCAAGACGCAAGATGATCGGTCTCCAAGACGCAAGATGATCGGTCTCCAAGACGCAAGATGATCGGTCTCCAGGACGCAAGATGATCGGTCTCCAAGACGCAAGACGATCGGTCTCCAAGACGCAAGATGATCGGTCTCCAAGACGCAAGATGATCGGTCTCCAGGACGCAAGATGATCGGTCTCCAAGACGCAAGATGATCGGTCTCCAAGACGCAAGATGATCGGTCTCCAAGACGCAAGATGATCGGTCTCCAAGACGCAAGATGATCGGTCTCAAAGACGCAAGATGATCGGTCTCCAAGACGCAAGATGATCGGTCTCCAAGATGCAAGATGATCGGTCTCAAAGACGCAAGATGATCGGTCTCAAAGACGCAAGATGATCGGTCTCCAAGACGCAAGATGATCGGTCTCCAAGACGCAAGATGATCGGTCTCCAAGACGCAAGATGATCGGTCTCCAAGACGCAAGATGATCGGTCTCCAAGGGGGAACAGATTCGTCGAAACTTTGATCCCAGAAACCGCTCAAGGAAACAGCGGGGGAAGAGTCAAAATGAAATTGGAACAAGGCAATTAGAACCTCTTGTCAATTTACGGTGGGCAAACAAGCGTTATAAACAACTCCGTTGTTCGCTGCGTTTGTTTACATCTAACGCCCCTGACGAGATCGAAGCCTCTTCGCCGAAGTTACCTTCGGGGAAGCACAAATATTTTGGCGGGAATTCGTACACAAAGCCGGGCCTTTGTTGATGCCGGGTACTGGTTGGGGCCTGATCATATTACTGGGATAAACACAGGGGTTTATTGGGCGATTATCACGGGCTGGTTCGAGTGTGTGTGTGTGTGTGTGCTTGTCGAGTTGTGCTTGCGGGGGTTGAGCTCTGGCTCTTTGGTTCCGCCTCTCAGCCGTTATAGTCTACTGGTGTACAGGTTCCTGAGCCTACTGGGCTCTATCATATCTACATTTGAAACTGTGTGTGGAGTCAGCCTCCACCATGTGTGTGTGTGTGTGTGTGTGTGTGTGTGTGTGTGTGTGTGTGTGTGAACTCTAAGGAAGAGTGGTTCAGTGGAAGAGGCATTTTGGGGGTTAATAAATATGACTGTATTACTTGCCAATAAGTGGTTGTAGAGATTGTATGGTTGTGAGTTATACATATGTTTTGCCCATGTGTCAAGTGAACCGCTGTCCTATGCTTTCTGTATGTGTCTGTCTGTCTGTTTCTGTCTCACACATCTCCCTCTCCACGACAGGTATGGGACAGCGGAGTGGTCTTCGTCGGAGGAGAGTGGCGGGGCGGGCGAGGAGTCGTCCTACTTGGCCTACCGCAGGAGGCGGCGCCGGGGCCGCGATGTTGACACCTCCTCCACCGAACTCTCTCCCCTCGACGCCACCTCCAGGTAACTGTAACCTGTAACTCTGTAACCACACCTGTAATTTGCGTATCTCCATAAGCTATAGCTAGTTATAGAGACATCTGTAACTATCTCACAAGATCTTGCAAGCAATATCCCCCACCCATCACCGCTTTGCATCTTTGGTATCTTGCAATACTTGTAATGCAATTTTAAGATTTGTACATGAGGTAGTGACTCTTTGGCTGGGTATCGAACCAATATGCCAGAGCGCTATTGCTGTCCGCTCGACTGTAGGGACCATTGTGTGTGTGTGTGTGTGTGAGAGTGAGTGAGTGAGTGAGTGAGTGAGTGAGTGAGTGAGTGAGTGAGTGAGTGAGTGAGTGAGTGAGTGTGAGTGAGTGAGTGTGTGTGTGAGTGAGTGAGTGAGTGAGTGAGTGAGTGTGTGAGTGTGTGAGTGTGTGAGTGAGTGA